TCATCGGAACTCACTGTATGGTTCATCAACAAATATTAGCAACGAAGATGCTGCCACAAGAGTTACATGAAGTAATGAAAAGCGTCAAAAGTACTGTAAATTTTGTAAAGGCGATCACTTTAAACAGTTGACTGTTTTCGAAACTGTGCAAGTAGTTGGATGTCCCGAACAATGCTCTGCTATTTCACACTGAAGTGAAATGTTTGTCAAGAGGAAAAGTTTTAAAACTTGCTTTTAAGCTTCGTGATGAACTCAAAAGGTTTTTTAATCAGAAAGCAAGACCACAGTTCGAAGCACTTTTCCAAGGCTGACATCTTTACAGACGTCGCCTGCCTCAGATTTCTCTCCGACAGAGTGGCATAAGGTTCCTTTCTATAAGCAGACAAGCTTATTCTGAAATTTAAATGGAAAGAGAATGGCCCTAAAAGAGCCAAGACTAATCTGATAAAGAAGAGTAAAATGGGAAGACTCACACTTGCCGATGTGAAAGTTTATGATATCTACAGCAACTGTCAAACAGTGTGTGCTCCTGAGGGAGGGGCAGACACACAGATCAATGGAATGGAGTGGAGAACCCAGAAAGACTCAGATATGTCCAAATGATTTCTGACAAAGGCGCAAAAAATTAATTCAATGGAAAAAACAAAAAGTAATTCAATGGTAGAGGTGTTGAAGCTATTGAATATTCACAGTAACAAAATGAACCTTGTTGAATATTCATAGTTACAAAATGAACCTCATTCCTAAAAGTGAAATTTAAACTATGAAACTTTTGGATGAAAAACAAATCTTCGGAATTTAGGTCTAGGTGAAAAATCCTTAGACTTGATACCAAAAGTATGATCCAAAAAAGGAACAACAGAAAAATCAGACCTCATCAAATTAAAACCTTTTGCTCTGTGAAAGACCCTGTTCAGTGACGAAAAAGAAAAATTACTCAATTCACCTAAACTCTCCATGTGGGAAACATTCAAATAAATTCACCGAATTTTTAAATTTATAAATCCACTTACATCAATTTGTAAGAGGAATTTACCTTCACCAAAATCAGGATCGGCGACATCCATGAAATGCCATTTGATAGACAGGGTCTCTGGATGTGCAAAAGCACGGACACACACACACACAAATTCTCAGCCTATCACCGAACAAAGCTTAGAGTACATTCTTATGGCAAAATTATGAATGAGATGATTGATCTGTTTTAAAACTTTCTTGAGGCAACTGTTCTTTTAATTTTTAAATTTTCTCCAATTGTCACGAGACACTTTGGTCCTGGGCTAGGTCACAGGCTCTGGTTCTGCCGTGGACACTGCGGCCCAGCTGCTGAAGGCCGGCTGCCAGAGGTGTCTGTAGTGGTCAGGCCCCCTCAGAATGCCAATCTTGATGAGATACACTTCACACCGGGCAGTCGGCATCTACTAGCTGTTTCATGCGGGGTTATCAAGACTGGGCTGGCCCTTTACCCTAATTCTGAAGAGCTGAATGAACTTCACAGTTCTCCATCGGGAGCTGAGGCCTTTGCCAAGACTGAAGCACAGTTCAGCTTCTCCATCTGCCCAATCCTGCTTCCTTCTCTTCCTTTCCCTTCTACAGGTAATGTCAAGAGCACTTTCTAATAAGCCACCTACGTGTTACTCTCCATTCCATAATCTGCTTCTTGGGTAAATACAAAATGCAATAGGAGACAAGCCACTAGGATGCTAATCGCATGCCTCTACCTTTCCTAGTTGTGTGACCTCTAAAATGAGATTAAAAGCCCAATAGGTTTATATGAGAGTTGAAAATGCTTAGAAATGCACCTGGCACGCAATGGAAATCATTAAATGTTAGCTTTGCACTGTCTTAATGTTGTTTTACCTCTGGAGTTACTAAAAGCCACAGCAATGGCTGCACAGAACTCAGAGACAAAATCCACGACTAAGGGGTTTATTAAGGAAGTTAGCAAATGTATATATTAAGGAAGTTAACAAATTGTAATACCAGTGAGAAATGCTCAGGGTCGAGGTGTTTATCGAGATGTGGTAGAGAGTTCTGTCAAGTCAACTAATACTTGCCCAAAGGGAAAACCACTCAAAGGTATTCAGCTTAAAGTTTCATGGGTTGGCAAACCCAGCTTCCTAAATTAAGTGGTCAGAGGCACCCGACTCCAGGAAAGCTTAGCTTAAAGGTATTTAGCTCCACTTCAGTGGGACAGCAAGTCCAATTTCCCCAACTGAATGTCCAGAGGCACCCTAGTCCACAAAGCAGCCTCCTGTACAGAAGCACTCAGCTTAAGTCCACCACTCTGTTCCTTGCTCTGGCTCCTAGTTGTCTGCTGCTCCTCTAATGGTACAGCTGGCATCCGGATCCAGGAGGCTCACGGCACAGAGGCTGTGCTCCACTCTGGCTCTTGCTGGTAATGAGAACCCTCCTCCTGCTTCTCAGAGGGCTCACTTTATACACAGAAGGACCCACTCCACGGAATCCTATTCACAATTACTCACAGGTAAATCCTATCAGTATTTCACCACCTTCTTCCCAGACCCTTGCAGGGAAAGGTCATTTGGTGGGAGTTTGTGACTTTGGCTAGAAGAGCCACATTAAGTAATTCACTGTCCCTGCAAGGTTCTCCTGTCACCACGGACTGTGTTATTCCTGTGAACACATGAAGACATTCTCTATGGTCTAAGTGATTTAATGAAAAGACGGACGCACAGAGAGAGTCAAACAACCCTGACTTTGACATTCTGAAAACCGTCCTAACTGAAATATTCCAATGTCTTAAAACTCTAACCTTGGTTCACATTCATAAGGAGAATTAAAACCTTGGTAGCCTTGGATCCAGGAAGTTAAAAGCCAGCAACCAATACCATTGCAAATCTGTTCTAATGGTTGAAAACTAGTGCTTCTAAGTCCTAAGAAACAATTAAACCCCCAAAAGTGCTCAAATGAATTATTCTGATAAAAGAGGAACTCAACCAACAGAATAACACACTTTATAATATTACTTATGTATATAGTGTCAAAATATTTAAACACATTTTCTGTTTAAAAACACATCAGCAACTCTGCAGTATGCATGCCTATCAATTTTAAATTTCTAGTAAGTATCTATTTTTCAGGTTGGCAAGTTATATTCTATTATGGCCATGATAAAGACAGTCTACCTTCCTGAACCTATTAATCTGTTCCAAACGAGCTCAGAGTCAACTGATTTTTCACATTTTTCTGAATTAGTAATAAACTAATCTAAAAAATAATCAAAAGAAATCATGTCCCAAAGCAAAGTTAAAGGAAATAGAGGAAAGAGGTAGGAGGCAAAGGGCAGTTATAGAGGTCTAAATAAAGGCATGTACATATGTAAATATATTTATATATGAGGATGGGGAAAT